TTAGGGCTTACAGGGCTTAGGGCTTACAGGGCTTATAGGGTTTAGGGCTTAGGGTTTAGGGTAGCCCGACCTGTCGGGTCTAAGCCATAAATCCCGTAAATCCAGTCTTTGATTGGGGGTGTAGGCTTTAGGGGTTTAGGGCTTTAGGGGTTTGGGGTCAAGGGTCATAGGGTGTGTTTTGGGGTCTGGGGTGCACGCTTTGGGTAGGGACGTGCTGCAAGACCCCTACAGGTTTGTGTGCTTAATATAGGGGCCTGAATAATTAGAAGGGGGTTTTGGGCTCCCTTATAATGTAAGTATGGCAAGTTACCCTCAGGAATAATATTGGTATAGTTATTTAGGCTTCACATTACTCTTGGAACCTAAACCCGAAACCCTAAACCTGAAACCCTAAAACCTAAACCCGAAGTCTTAAACCCTAAACCTTAAACCCTAAACCCTACACCTGAAGCCGAACTCCTCGCGACATCGGATTACTTGGCTCTAAACCCCAACACGCCCAGGCCCACGAAAACGCAGAATGTAATTCAAGATGCCCTTACAAGCCTTGATAGAAATCTTTATAAAGCTCCTTGATGCACCTATACAAAAGCCCTAGGCCCTAAACTCTACAGAACTTGAAAAAGATCTTAAAAGTGGCATACAAGGTACCCCTGGACCACTCTTCCGGGCTCACGTAGTGGACTTCCTCGCAAGACTCCTCGTCAGAGCTGCAGCTCATACGAGACTTCTGCGGCACTTTCAGCACCTGAGTTTTAGGGTTTAGGGTTAGAATGTGCTGCTTGAGTATATGCCGTATTTGTGCTTTCAGTTTTAGGTGGTTACTGTTGAGTTTCTTCTTCTGTTGGCTTGCATCTTTGAATATTTATTGCAAGCTTGTCTTACAAGGGCCATTCTCGCAGGGTTTCGTGTTCCATCGGATTCCATCGTTTGTTTACCAAGGGTCCCTCCTCTCACGATTGTGGAGTTTCGGGGCGTAGGGTTAAAAGGCTCAGAGCCGCAGGGGGTTGATTGTTTAATTCAGGACTTAAGGTTTAAGGCTTGGGGATTAGGGTTCTTCATATGGACGAATATAAACCCCCTAAACCCTAAACCCGTAAACCCTTAAACCCTAAACCCTTAAACCCTAAAATCTCAGTCATCAACAGCGCTCCCCATAGTTCCTAAACCCCAACCCCGAACCCGGAACCCTAACCCTCCCACTGACCAAGCAAGTTCATCCAAACGCGCGAGCAGATGCCAACCTTTCAACCGGTCTAGGGCTTTGGGAATGAGAGTCTTGGGTTTACACGGCTTAGGGTCTAGGTCTTGAGTCTTTGGAAATTAGGTTTGGGGTATATATAATTAAATAAATAATTAAAAAAAGTATATATCTTTGTGGGAACATGCCACACAAAGCCAGAAGATTTGCTGACGGACCGCCAAGAGGCCAGCGTGCTGAAGTTGTTGTTTGCCTTCATCCTCTCCGGCACGTCTGCGTCCGGCACTTTAAAACTGATTGGGATGGCAACGGTGAAATTGGAGATCCTCGCAGCGCCCTGTGATTCACAGTAGTCCTGCAGTCCGGCAGTCACCTGGGAGTCTCAAACAAGTCGGCTTTTAAGGTCTACTTTTAAAGTCAATGTTTGGTTTAGGCTTGGGGTTTTTGAGTCTGCGGGGTTTAGGGCTTCTGGTCTGGAGGATCTACGATTTAAAGTGCGTGAGTTTTAGAAGGTTTAGGGGAGCCTCAGAAAACACGAAAAACAAGATGGACATGTAGCCTTCTTTTTTCAGGACCCTAAGTAAGGCATGGAGGCCTGATTTATTTCAGGAACCCCCCGAACCCCTCAACAAACCCTGCAAAAGCCCACGTTACATTGATGAACCATATGCAACTGTACCGAGTCCTTAAACAAATGAGAAGCCCCACCCATAAACCCCTTAACTCAATTAGCTAACCCCGTTGAAGCCACCCTCAAAGAAACCCTGACAGCAATCCATTAATTAAGCCCCTGAAGTGCCCCTGAAAGAACCCTGAACTCCTGAACCCCCTACCTGGCGGAGGAGGACGCTGTTCACTGTAACTCCACTTGCTCGCGCTTCTTCTCGGACTGCGCTCAATGGGTACCTGAGGGTTGCAGAAACTACGCCTTTAAAGGTTCCTCTACTAGTTCCCTGTTGGGGTTATATTAAATATGACCTTTTTTAATCCTTACCGGGGTTTTACTAGAACAAAAATGCAAAATTGTAGCCAACAAGGACCCAGCCTAATTCTTTCGAGTTTTAAGGCTGCCCGGGTGTTTCGAGCTAGGAATTTAGGGTTCAGGGCTCTGGAGTCTAGTGCTTTAGAGCTGCCGGGAGGGGGGTTTTAGAGCTTTAGCGGCTTAGGGTTTAGCCCCCTACCGGCGGGTAGTATCATACGAACCCGGGATCCCCCTCAACCCGAAACCCTCCGAAACCCTGCAGTTTAGGGTTTAGGGTTGCTCTGCAATCCAGGACTTGCTGCGGTCCAAGATGGAAATAGCGTATCTGGGACGGCCGCGCCGCATCACCTGGGATTGTCTTGATACCCGTTTCCTTCTCTGTTGAATAAAGATCACACTATGCCCCGAACCCTATTGACACGCTAGGAACCCCAGACGCCTTACAAACCCCTAAACCCTTAAGCCCTAAACCCTTAAGCCCTAAACTCTAAACTCTCAACACTCAAACCCCTAAAACCCTAAAATCCCTTAACCCTAAAACCCTAAAGCCCTAAAGCCCTAAAACCCCTAAAATCCTAAAATCCTTAAACAAACAAACAAAAACAAACACACACACACACACAAACAAGAACCAACATACAACTCTCTTTTTTCCAGCGCGGCCAAGGCTCTGGGGGTGGAGATGGGGGACTTCGCCTCGGGAAAGAGCAGGCCGCGAAAAGGCGCACCTTAGTTGTTGAGCCCAGAGGCCCCAAAGAGTCTAAACTTTCAGTTCCCTTAGCAGTGGCCTGGTGCTGAAACAAGCTGCTTGTGCGCCCTGGCTTGATAGCTTCACACTCAAATCTGACTCTAAAACCCTAATAAAACCCTAAACCCTACACGCAAGCAGTGTAAAGTGCACTCATTTTGGTACTAAGGGCACCCACGTGCCGCATGCAGCTGCCCATGGCAGTGAGACCTTCCACAGTTTGAGGTCTGGTGGTTGGGGGGCTCAAGGTTCGGGATTTAGGGGGTTTAGGGGGTTTAAGTGTCTTAGGGTTTAGAGCTAAGAGGGTTTAGGGGGTTTAGGTGGTTTCGGGTTAGGGGGCTTAGGAGGTTTAGGGGGTTTAGGTGGTTAAGGGTTAAGAGAGTTTAGGGGGTTTAGGTGGCTTGGGGTTAAGAGGGTTTAGGGGGTTTAGGTGGTTTAGGGTTAAGAGGGTTTAGGGGGTGTAGGTGGCTTAGGGTTAAGAGGGTTTAGGTGGTTTAGGGTTTCGGGTTAAGAGGGTTTAGGGGGTTTAGGTGGTTTTGGGATAAGAGGGTTTTGGGGGTTCAGGTGGTTTAGGGTTAAGAGGGTTTACAGGGTTTAGGCGGTTTAGGGGGTTTAGATGGCTAAGGGTTAAGAGGGTTTAGGGCGTTTAGGTGGTTTAAGGTTTAGGGTTAAGAGGGTTTAGAGTACCTAGAGCTAGAGTAACCAAAGTAGCTGTACCAAGGCAAGCAGTCTCAAAACTTTGCAGCGCACTTAAAACATCTTACAAAATGGACCCCCAAGGTTCTGATCTAAAATCCTGTCTGCTTTGTGAATACGCTCGGGTAAGTGCAAACGCACATGGCATAGCCACGAACTGTTGAAGCCCAATTCCTCCAAGGCTGCTTCAGGTTTAGGGTTTAGGGTATATGGCTTAGGATTTTGACCGTAAACCCCGAGCCCTGTAAGCCCTAAGTTTAGCGTCTGGAATCTTGGGGCTTACGGCTTAAGGCTGAGGCTTTGTGTTTAGGGTGCCTTACGGTTTAAGAGCTTCGTCGTATCCCAAACCTCACAGCCCTACCCGACCTTCACAGCAGCTTCCGCTGCAGTCCGGCTGGGCAGATCCATGTTTCCTCCTCGATTTCTCGGCCATGGGCAGCATCTCCTGGACGGTCTCTCTCAAGCTCCTGAGCTGTCAGGGTTGAGGGTTCAGGGTGTAGGGTTTCTGAGAATTGCAGGTTCCTCTGGAGGCTCTTAACCCTAAGCCCCACCTCGAAGCTCGTCGCAATGACAATGGAGAAAACGGCAGCAACGACAACACCAAGGAACTATGACTCTACTAATAACATCATGGCTGGTGCCGGTCGTCAAAGCAATGATTCTGAGTGGAATTAAACTAGCGGTGGTTACCATGACGAAAATTCGCTCCGCGTCTACTACGACTGAGACGATGATGTTGTTGTTGCTGCTGCTGCTGAGGAGGAGGAAGTGGCGGAGGATGGTTCTGATGAGCAGCAGCTGTTGATTCAAAGAATAGTTAGCGCAGCTGGCGATGCCGCTGATTGCCTCCACTGCTGCTGCCATTATGAGGCAGAGCATGATGTTGTTCATGACGATGGTTGCTGTGATTAGTAGTTGTCATGCTGGTGGTAGCGGTCGTCGTAACATTAGCAGGCAATTTGGATAATCAGCGGCAATAAAACTACTGACAAACATAGTGATGATGACTCCTCTTGTTTGGGCTGCCCTCGGCGTTGTTGTTTTGTTGTCGTCGTCGTCGTCGTGATTGCGGCTGTTGTTGATGCTGCTGCTTCTGCTGTTGCTGCTATTGCTATTGCTGTTGCCGGTGCTGTTGCTGTTGCGGTTGCTGTTGCTGTTGGCAGCAGTAGTACGTAGTAGTAGTACGAAGTAGTACGTAGTAGCACGTAGTAGCACGTAGTAGTACGTAGTAGCACGTAGTAGCACGTAGTAGTAGGTAGTAGTAGTAGTAGTAGTAGTAGTAGTAGTAGTAGTAGTAGTAGTAGTAGTAGCAGTAGCAGTAGTAGCAGCAGTGAGTAGCAGTAGCAGTAGCAGCAGTGAGTAGCAGTAGCAGTAGCAGTAGCAGTAGCGGTAGCAGTAGCAGTAGCAGCAGCCGCCGTCGTAGTAGTTGTCCAAACCTGGTAAGTAGGCCCTAAACTCCATATGCCCTAGACCTTGGAAGCCTAAACCTTGACACTCAAACCCGATAAGTGGAGCCTGAACCTTCAAGTTTAAGCTTTAGGCAGAATTCTGGACCTTGACCCCCAAACCCCGAAACTTAGCCGACCCACGAACCCCATTAATATAGGAGCTTGAACAATTAGAATAGGGTTTGGGGTATATTATACTTGAATTATAGTAAGGAACACCCAAAACCCAATTCTAATTATCAAGGCCCCTACATTAACCTTGTCGAGCTGGAGCCTTACAGACTCTCACGCCCCGAACGCCTCCGTTCCCTTTGCGACCTGATACATGGCCTAAATAATTGAGACAGTCTTTTTGGGGTATGTTAAAACCGAAACAAAAAGGGGATTTTGCTACTAGTTCTTCGGACCAGTACATAAGTTGCGCCCAGAAGTGAGAAGGGAGACCTACGTGTTGGGGCTTGGATCTCTGTTAAGGTGTTCTCAGACTCAAGCCCAGTCTCTTGCCAAAGAGGAGAGTGCTGGTGATGACAACAATGCCCACTCCATCAACAGCAGCATGGTGAACGTGGAAAACCCTGGGAGGAAGATGGTGGTTTACTTTAGAGGCCTTAGTAATAGTTAGAATGGGGTCTAGATGTGTAGTACAGTCACATTACTATAAGGAACCAAAGGGAGTAGAATTGGCATTCCGAGCCCCAGATTAAGGGTGTTGATGGATAGTATCTGGGTCCTTCTGACTGTCACCAAGATTGTACGAATCAGTAAGTAGCACGGCCTGAGCAGGCTGTATCGGAATCTGACGGAGCTTCATGGGACTTTATGCAGGCTTTTCTCTCCCCGACCCAAGACCCTAAGCATCGAGGTCAACACCCTAAACCCTAAACCCCCCCAACAGGAATTCCACAGCCCAACATGCGAAACCCTCGATCTCTATGAGTCAACGGCACCTTACTCTAAGTGTCAAAAGCACGAAGTTAGAATCCTAAGCCCTTGGACCTCAAGCTAAGCATCTAACCCTAAAGCCTCAACCCTATTAAAACAAAAACCCCGAAACACCAAGCCCTCTCAATAAGGTCCCCTTTAAGAGAGCCACAAGCAGGGGTTAAGAAGGGTCCCCTTTAAGGGGTCTCCCTAATACTACCTAGGACTATTTGGGTACATGGACCCTTCAAACCCACCCCAAACCCCAAACCCTAACCCTTATGGTACCCTTAAAGGAAGCTGTAAAGGGAACCTATTTGGGTACCAGGGACCCTTGGGGGAAAAGGAAGAAAGGACCGACCAGGCTGAGATCTGCGCAGCTTTCGTGGGGTCGCTATGACTTGCCACCGGGGCGTCCTCCCATCGCTAGGGTTGGAAGTGAGGGGTTGTTTCAACCCTAAACCCTAAATGACTAAGCCCTAAACCCTAAACCCCTAACCCCTAAAACCCGGGTTTCGGGTTTAGGGTTTAGGGCTTCGGGAGTTGAGGGTTTAGAAGTTTAGGGTTCAGGGCTGGGAGATAGCTTCGCGGGCTGCGTATCCTGGTGTCTACAAACCCTGAGCCCTACCACCCGAAAACCTAAGCTCACGGGTTGGTATCGGGGGTTGGGAACCCAAAAACCATGACACCCGAAAGCCCCCGAAACCTTGAGCCTTCAGGCCTGAAGACCCCAAGCTCTTAAACCCTAAACCCTTAAACCCTGAAGGGTTTGGGGTTTATGGTTTAGCCCTAAACCCTGAAAACCCACACCCTTAAACCCGAAGTGCGGAGCACCCCCAGCAAACCCAGGACTAAGAGAACGGTCAAGCACGGCACCCCGGGTTTAGGGTTTAGGGGTTAGGGTCTGGGGTTTAGGGGTTTAGGGTTTAGGGGTTTAGGGTTTAGGCGGTTTACGCGGTTAAGGGGTTTAGGGTCTAGGTGAGGAAGCAGGGGTCTGAGGAAGGGTTGCTGAAACTAGGTTGGCCCTTTAAAGCCTCTGAAAAAATCTGGGCAAATGAGCTCTACTTACGCCCCATAAAAGAAAACACATCCCAAAAGCCTACCTAGCAAAGTGACCTCAACCTACCAACACCCCGGCTTTCTGTGGTAGGCCCCCCCCCCCCCCCCAAACCCAGTCTCCTTGTGGTAAATCGTAAATCTCAAACCCAAACCCTAAACTCTAAATCTCAAACCTCTAAACCCTACACCTATGATATGTAGACGCTTGACAAAGTGGGCTATTGGCTGGCGGGGTTCAGTGATTTAAAGACTACCTTCATGCCGAAAACTGTACTTGTACCTTCTTTAAAGGAACCCGTCAAGGAACCCTTAGATCTTTAAGCCGCCCTTATACCCAGCCTGCCGGAGGCGTCTTCGAAGGCCGGCATGTTTTGCATCGCAAGGACAATGCCCGGATCCTCCTCTTTCCCCTGGGCTTCGTATCAGGACCTTAATATTTTCAATAGGGTTTTGGGAGATCCCAGAGAACCCAATACCCCTTCATTCAGGAATATACGTTAAATCATAGTATTAAGGCCCCTATAAACTTAAGGTATATTCCTCAATTAAGGAGTATTGGGTTCTCTGGGTATCTTCTAGTATAAGCCTGAGAGAAAGCCTCAGGACCAGCTTTAGGCAACCTCTCAGGCTTCTAGACGAGGTGTTGGGCGAGAGCTTCTGGAGCCCTAAACCCCTAAACCC